TAATAATTAGTAATATTTACCTAGACAGGTTATAAAAGTTTAGAATGTTTGTAGATAAAAATTTAAAACTCCTAAAAACATAGATAAGGACCAGGGATGAGAAGCAAAGGTTATTTTCACTGAAGCATTACAAAGGAAGCTTTTTGAGCATATAAAATAGTCATTTTATACCTAAGGTCTCCTATCAAAAGATAAAGACTCTCAAGGTAACTTAGACTGAAATCTGTATTCCATATGCAAAAGAAATATTCAAAGTGGCGAATAAAAGTTAAATTATTATTAAGGACATAAAATGTGACAGACACTATGCTAACCATCCTATTTATATTCATTTTCCTCATAAAAGCCAAATAAAGTGGATTCTAATATTAAACCCACTGGAAAAATGAAGAAAATAAACCACAAAAAGATTAACCAACTTGTATAAGGTCACACAGTAGATGGAGAAGTCAGGATTTTAATCTATGAAGCCTGGCGCCAATGGGCAGTCATTTGAACTACCACTCTAAATTGATGCCCATAAAGTAAAAAGGGCAGCACAGATAAGGCAAATCCAAATAAACAAGAGAGTGATAGTGATGGTAATATTAGTCATTAGAAAGAGAAAAATGGTACTCTATCAATAATGAATGATACAATTTACAATTTCACACATACAACCCTTGGTACTCTACCAGTTCCCTCTCACTACCTGTGTACACTATGTGTGAGGAGGTGTACCTCTCAGGATAAAGAAATATCCTGGCCAGACGTGCCTAGAACCTTACAGGTCTGCCCCTACAGCAGATATTCAGGAAAAAATAGGCTAATAATGAAGGAAACAAAGATCAGGTTTGTACTAAATTAAAAATAATAAAATACCTAAAGAAAACAGGAAGTTAATTGGAAAATCATCACTAGAAGCAAAAATAAGTACAGTCAGTTCTGCTATAAAAAATAAAACTGTTCTTGGGCCCTCCCTGGTGGGGCAGCAGGTTAAAGCACTGCAGTAAGAAGCTGAAACCACTTCCGCATGAGCTCGATCCCCGCCTGGCCCTGAGGAGATCCACATGGTGAGGCAGACCTCTCCTGGGCCGCCCGCTGCTCCCCTCAGCAGTGTACTTCATCTATCTTCCTGTTCCGCTCCTCACTCTGTCTCTGGTGAATCCTCTCACCCTGCGCATCTCTGGCCTATACCCCAGTTCTATATAAATAAAATGAATAAATCTTTAAAAAAATAATAATAAAATAAAACTGTTCCAAAGCAATTGATTATATTAGGAGAAAAGTTTCACACTGCTTATGTGAAGTTACATCCCTAAGAAACAGTAAGTGAAGCAGAACCCAGCTGAACCCAGTGATGTCAGGACACACAAGACTACACACACCCTCAAACTGCATTGGCTCCCTCCATCCACTGTTAGTGTGCTGTATGTGTTAAGAGTGGCACAGTTTCACATCAGCTCAATGATTTTCCAACAAATTTTATGTCAAAGCCCACTTTCCACCACTTGGCAAAATTTCACAATATTTACCCCCAAAAGCCCACTTCCACAAGTAAATTTTCAAGTCTTTTACTTACTGAAAAACTTTTAAACTTTTTAACCATGTCTATGTGTAAAACAGAGCTAGCATCTTTATTAGTGTCATCTTTTGCTTCTGTGTATAGTTAACAAATTTTCTAGATCTGTATCCTATTCATATTCTATAAAATCCACTGTGCTTTTTATATTATGCAATTTTGTGTAACATAGTGGTTTTAAGTATGTATATGTTGCAGTACAGCAGAACTGACTATGCACAGATGAAAAGTCATCATAATACCAACATAGCAGATATCCACCAAAATCTACAAGCTGCAAGACTTTTCTTCTTTTCAAGTACTAGAAGGCTCTAGAAGGCTCCCTAATACTGATCACACATTAAGCTACAAAAGAGAGATTAAAAAAGTCTTAATAATAATTGTGCTTGATTAAATTAAGGCATGAAAATAATTTCTTAACATCAAAAGTATAAATGGGAGAAATAAAATAATACTTGGAAATTACAATTATTTTCCTAACATACCATATTCAGAGAAAACAGTAATAAACAGCTATAGAATATGTAGCAAAAACACAATAATGAAAAAATGACATATAAAAAAATCTGAAAGCTAGAGGACAATAAAAAAGCAAGCATTCAGAGGTGTTCCTTATTAAAATAAACTAATTCATTTTGCATTGGTGAAAACAAAAGGAATTAGTGAACAAAACAGCTCAAGACTAAAAACCTATAAAATACAGTTTTCTGTAACCTAGAAGAGACACACACACACAAAAAAGAATCACACAAATGAGTAACAGCTTTCACCAACCTAATCAAGATAAAGAAAAAAAAATCAGATTCCCAAATAATAAACAAAACTACACCTGTGACAGCCTTAAAATCTGATCAATCTCGGCCCTTCCTGGTGGCGCAGCGGGTTAAAGCACAGCACTGAGAATCTAAAGCTGCTTCTGCATGAGTTCGATTCCCGCCTGCCCCGGAGGTGACCACATGGCATGGCAGACCTCTCCTGACCCGCCCGCTGCTCCCCTCAGCAGTGTACTTCGTCAATCTGCCTGTTCTGTTCCCCACTCTGTCTCTGGTGAAGCCTCTCGCCGCCCCTGAGCCTCTGGCCTGTACCCCAGTTCTGTATGCACAAATAAATAAATCTTAAAAAAAAAAAAAAATCTGATCAATCTCAATAACATCTCTATTTATAATTTTGATTGAAAATATGAGTTATCAACAGTACTAGAAGAGTAATAGAAGGCCTAAAACACAAGTAATGTTAACACTTGATCAAAGAACAACCTCTAGGACAACACCAGCATCTTAAGGTTTTTATAGGCCAGTTCTTAATTTTTAAAAGGTTGCAAAAAGCTAGGTTGCTTAAGGATTCTGTTTGGTTGTGTGTGGGTGTACACAAGCGCAATGTGGTGTTAACCTAAATTAGCTAACATTTAAATTTAAAAAGTCAAGCTATTTTACATAACATTTTGGAATTCCAGCTTATCTTGAATAATTGGAAGACTCTTGACAACTCTGTCACATGCCATTAGAGTGAAGAGTAGGTAGTCTCTCTGAGTGCAGCATGGACTTTGGTCCATCTGTTACTCCAAGAGCCTATAGAACTTCAATTGTGGTACCTTTCGATCAGTCTTATAAGCTTTTTTGAAATCATGCTATAGACTTTGAAAAAAAAAAATCCCAAAATATAATAATGGAAAACTAATTCTCCTCAAATTACCTTTAAATCTGTATACGCATTTCATCAAAATCTTTTTTTTAATAGACTGGGAAGAATTTAACAAAGTAATTCTAATATTCTTATAGAAAATCAATGGTCACTCACCAGAAGAAATTTTCAATAAAGACAAGGCAAGATTTAAACTGTCAGTTAATAACATAAAGGTCTAACAATTGTATTCAAAGAGAAAGTTCATGAAAGAGATAAAAAAAAAAAAGACAGAAACAATGATTATCTAAATATAATATAGATGGCACTTAAAATCAGGAGCAAAAAATGGCTTATGTGAATCTCAGAGAAGCAGCCCCAAAAAACAAGGGAATAGCCTCTGGAGCTGAACCCTATGCTATTCCTGTCCAAGAGTGTGCCTCTGGGCTAGTAGTGTCCTTATCTGCAAAATGAAGATCACCACTGTACTTAATTCACAGGGTTGTTGCAAAGATTAGCATTTGTAAAGTACAGAATACTATATATGCAATCTTAAACAAAAGAAAGCAATCCATGCTAAAATAATCCTTAAACTACTGGAAACTGCGATTTGAACATAAACTTCCATCACACCACATTGATATATTAAAGTGAAGGGCAAAGACTAAATTAGGGAAGAAAGGACCATTATTTGAGCTCTGTATTTTATATATGACAGAAAAGTTAAAACTAAAGGAAAAATAAACATTGGTGTATAAGTAACTGTTCTTACAAATGAATAAACAAATACACAGTCAAGCAATACACAAAGTTCTGCCTGCTTCATTGAAAAAGTATGCATTTTTTATATCACTAAATAAAAATACAAATTAAAATTCTCAATTATCAAATTGGTCAAGGTTTAGAAAAAATAATAGTCAATGGGCGGAGAAATTGGTTCACTGACTATATAAATAATACACTGAAACAACATCTGTAGGAGTCACTTTGATTAAATGCTTGGAAAACTTCTAAAATATTCAAACCCATTAATTCCTTGGAAAACTTCTAAAATATTCAAACCCACTAATTCCATAAGTCAATTTCCAGGACATAGCTGTAACAAAAGGATATCCTCATTTTTTCAAATGGAGTAACCATATGGACCCAGCAATTCCATTCCTAGACATCTAGTTAAAGGACACAAGAACATTTATTCAAAAGGAAACTTGCATATCTATGTTTATTGCAACACTATTTACAATAGCTAAGATACAGAAACAACCTATATGCCTAAAAACTGGTGAATGGATCAAGAAGATGTAGTACTCACCAATCAAAAAAATAAACTCATGCCATTTGCAGCAACAGGGATGAGTTGGAGGGGATTATACTCAATGAAATAAGTCAGAAGGAAAAAAGACAATAATGGTGTTTTCACTTATTGGAGCAATGTAGGGAAACTAAACAAGGAATTGGTGGTGGGGGGGGAGATAATACTAGCAGGCAATTATAAATTGGAGACATTCAGCAGGGGACGAGGAGAGAGAAGTACTAAAACAGGACATGAAGAACACAAGAGAGTATTATGATGACTCATGAGTAACTTGGTGGTGGGAGAAATCAAACATTGCAGAAAAGTGATGTAAAAATGCATAATATAACTAAATGTAATTTTTAAAAAGTCATTTTTTCAGTGATGAATCAGTGAAAGAAGTATGTAAAGAAATATTTTAAGTGACAAATATAAAACTACATGTTTTAAAATTTTAACATCTATGTCACTGTAGAGTTAATGTTTCATATTATCAAATTTCAAAAGAAAAATTCAGAAACTAACCTTTTAACGACATCTTTCTTCTGATTATCTATGGTATCCCACCACTTTGAAAAATAGGAGACCTCAGACCACATGAATTTCCTCCTGGAGTCTTCTTTAAGTTTAATAACCATGTTATTAAAAATATACTGAGTCTTCTCGCGAAAGTACTCATCAAAAGTCTTCAACCAACCTAAATCAAGATACAAATAAATATGCCATAAAGGTCTGATTCACATTTGATTTATAATCAAGCATAGTTTATTGCATTACCTTTTGGATATCTGTAAATGTTTCATTCACATGAAGATATATTTTTTAAATTTAATAAATATTTTCAATTTGTGATATTCAATTTGAATGAACATGAAAATCACAAAGTAACTATGTCAAAAAAGAAAAATAAACACTGAAAACTGCAAAAATTTAAATGGAAATAAGAAAAATATGATCTAAGACCTAAAGAGCATGTTTTATATTAAGCAATCAGTGTTAATTCAATATACTATCTTTTTATAATTTTTCTCTAGTTTAAAATTTTTTAAATTGAAAAAAAATCTCAAGTGTTAACAAGTTAGCAGGACTGTACTCATAACAAGAATAAATGTTTATCTACATATGCCACATCTAAACTTCCCCCCTCATTAAGTAAATTAAACTAAAAAAAAGGAAGTTCTAAGTGCAAGCTATACTGAAAAGTCAATCAGAGCAACAATTAATTATAATACTATCATGGATATGAAAAAACAGAATTCTGCCCCCAAATATACATTAGTACTGGAAACTTCACTTTTACACTTTCAAAAAGACCAACTGACACTAATCTAACAACAAATATATACACATCTCTGCAAAGTTTTTTCAAAAGAAAATTGCAAATGTTGATGACTCGGTATTTCATACTACTCAAGTAAACTGGAAATTTTATTTAAGACATTTACAATTTGGCTATAAAGAAACAATTTTAACATCTTAACATTTTAATCCTGTCAAACATCTGACAGGATTAAAGCAACATGATGAGTGCGACCTACTGGTCACAAGCAAAGGGGACCTTCTGAAGACACTGTGTTTCTATTCTTCCAGGTTGGGTTGCTCGATTGTTTTACAAGCCCTCAAACACATGAGTTGACTAAAATATAAGGTGTCCAAATGGCTTTAGACTATGATTAAGGAATGAAATACATATTCAATGTACATTATATAACTGCTAGCAAAAAATAATAAAATTCAGAAGACGACACTACAATTATTTGACAAGGCAAATATGAACTTCTGACTGTACATCTCCCCTGCTTTCACTGAAAACCACTCATTCCATAGCTATTTACTGAGCATCTTACCAAGTAACAAGCATGAGTCAAAAAGAAATACAGTACAAAAATACTCTTTATAAGACTTTTTTGATCCGGGGCATTCTATCCTGGCTTGTCATCAAAGAATATTACCTGAGCAATTAAACTTATCTAAGTTTAAATAACAAATATCTGAACCAGTATTTGGAAGAAGAGTCTTTAAGTAATTAAGGTAAAATGAGGTTATAAAGGTGGGACCTAATCCAATGTGATTTTAATAATTTTAAGATTTATTTCATTTATTTATGCATACAGAGCACGGTTGTAGGCCAGAGATGGAGGGTGGTGAGAGAATTCACGAGAGACAGAGTGTGGAAGAGAACAGATGAACTGACTAAAATACACTGCTGAGGGGAGCAGCAGGAGAGACAGGAGAGGTCTGCTAAGCCATGTGGATCAGCTCTCTGGCTAGACAGAACTTGTGCTGCCATGGCTGCCAATATGCTGAGACTTAACTCTTTGTACCACCAGGTATGCCCCCATATGGTTTCATAAAAAGTGACAATTAGGGACATAGATACACACAGAAGAAACCATCTGCAAGCCAAGATGAGAGGCCCTCCCAAGACACCAACACAGTTGGCATCTGGATTATGGAATTCTAGATTCAACAGTCTGTGAAACTGTTAGGACAACCCTCACACACCAATACAGTCCTAAAAAAATAAGTTTGTGTTACTAGTATACAAAAATAAAGATAGCAATGTGGTGTGAATTTATTTTACCAAATTATCACAGTAATATTTATAATGTATGCCTACCTTCAAATCACAAAAATGAGTTGAAATAAATAAAATGTTTTTGAATCACGCCATAGTTCACGCCATGTTCAATAAGACCATGCAAATTACTTACATGGCTCTAATAAATATTGTCAGGACATCACATATACCTTTTTTCTAAATTTTAGCAAAAGTCAAAACTAATCCCTACTTTGCGATTAACTAAATTAAAGAACTGTGAACAGAAGACAGTCTCCAAAACTAACTTAGTAATACAGCACTAGTAATCTAGCACAAAAAAATTATTTAAGAATAATCTTTGGGGCCCTCCCTGGTGGCGCAGCGGGGTAAAGCACTGCACTAAGAAGCTTGAGCCACTTCCGCATGAGTTTGATCCCTGCCTGCCCCAGAGGGGATCCACATGGCGTGGCAGACCTCTCCTGACCCGCCCGCTGCTCCCCTCAGCAGTGTACTTTGTAGATATGCCTGTTCTGCTCCCCACTCTGTCTCTGGTGAATCCTCTCACCCTCCGCATCTCTGGCCTGTACCCCAGTTCTGTATGAATAAATAAATAAATCTTTAAAAAAAAAAAAAAGAATAATCTTTGTGAAGATATTAATAAGTAAGGTTTTTTTAATAGAAATTATTTATTTTCATCACTTATAATTTGTGAACTAAGACCAATTCATAGAATAGTCTATCACAGAAGTTCTTATACTGGAATAACAGTGACTGATTAGCCCACTTTGCCTTTAATACTTTATTTGCCCTTCAACAATCATGAAGAAAAAATATCAAAGATATTTATGTGAGCCAAAATAAAAGTTCAGAGATGTCAGCTTAAAAAACCTTCCATAAAACTCATCTATGTTACTACAATATAGCACGATTAATGAAGAATGAACTGAAAGATAGCCTCTTACAAGTTTCAATTTTGAGAAATATAACAGTAAATTAGTTTTTATTGCTCTCATACAATAGAGTAATCAAGTATTGTCTTTTACCTGAATTGACTCTTTCTCTAAATTACTATAAAAGTACAACTGTACATTAACATAAGACCAATAAGAAAGACTGTATTTTGTAAAAGGTTTTATGGGATGAATTTGTAACATAAAATTTTATTCCTACTTCTAGATTTAATAATCTTAGGACAATGAGTTGCAAACTGATTTATTTAAGTGGTCAATTCAGTCTTTCTTCCCTTCCCTTTTATACACTGAAAGGCTGAACCAAGACTAGAAAAGCATTAAGATAACTTTAAACTTATTTTTTTCCACCCAAATGACATCATGACCCATAAATAACCAAGAATGATTTTAAATAGCTTGTGAAATATTTTAAGCAAAGTATCTATAAAGCAGGCCTGGACTGAAATTAGGTATTTTATCATTAAATATTTAAAGGAATATTTAAGTTCTAAAATACAAAGCTAATAAAGTTGAAAACACTATTTCTAATGCATATGGACAAGTACATGCCTAGTACTCATTCACTCACAAAATATAATTTACTTTATTAAATTGGGATTTTAATCACAACTTTGATGCCTAGAGGAGTGGGCATTTCTCAGTCCTTCCCAGTTATAGCAGTTGACCTTGCCCTCCCCTGAGCAAAAGCCCAAGGATTACGTTTGTAGAGGTATGGAAAAAGTACTGATCCTCTTAAGAAGCACTCGGCTTTATTTTGTTCAAGGACATGTACAATACCACTTTTAGTATCTGCACAAGAGTGACCCATCCTGCGCCCTGGACTCTTAACGAGACATTCATCCCACTCTTTCCTTACCAAACAGTAAATCCACAGGTCAAACAACTTGCCCCACCAGAGTCTTCCCTGTCCTACCCTTTTGAGTAGATTGGGTCCAGAAATCTGTATCTAAACCACACTAAGTACGCCATCTTCTAGAAGGGGATGGAAACAATAGTGGGCATTTCTCAGTTACAGCAGTTGACTTTGCCCTAGCCTGAGCATAAGTTCAAGGATTTGGTTTGTAGAGGTATAGAGAGAGTACTGGGATGTCTCAAGATCACTCCTAGTTTAGGACTTGGCCAGGCTTCTAAAAAGAGGTTGGGCTGTACCATAGGCTAGCTCTCCATCACACCCTATTGAGCAACTGGAGTCAAAGCAATCTAAACCCATAATTGGCCTTCTAAATCACCGGGTTTGTTATCAAGGGTAAAGGAAAGGAGTTGTCTTATTTTAGTAATGCATTCTTTGATCTGAAAATTTTAAGACTTTAGACATTAGGTATAAGGGCCTCTGTGTACTTCTTTCTTCTGCTGCAGTTCCTGTAAATTTTAGAATTAGGACTGGAAACACACTGCAATTTGATGTTCAAACATGTTAATTCTCAAGAACTTAGTTCCTGGTACAAAGCCTACAGCAGCAATAACCGGACAGATATTGACAGAAGGAATGAAATGTATGGTCAAAATATGTATGTCATAAATTCAAATTTCTTTCTTCAACTAGAAATTAAATCAAAGGTAAAATTAAATTTAAAAAAAAATAAAAAAACATACTATTACCTCTAATGTCTGTTCTGATGCTAATCAAATAATCTTTGCTCAGTAACTTTGTTTCCGTCGTATTTATATTTTAAAATGTTCTATCAGTCAAAATAATTTAAAACACCCATTCGTAAGAAGACAGACCCCCTCAAATCATTGTTAAGCTGTTATGATTTCAGCTGTTACACAAATTAGTTTGCACATCCAAAGTTAAATAGGTATCAACTGTTAGGAAAACAAAAATACTGCAGTGAAAAATAATTTATTTAGAAATAAAATTTTAAAATGCAATTTAATCTTGAAGCAATTTCCATGTTAATATCTCAAATTATAAAAATACAAATAGAAGTCATAAGAAAAAGACTCCTTTGTTTTATTAATGGAGATATTGTCTACCAACAAATGATCAACGGGCTTCTTTTAACACTTGTCAAATCCTCCTTATATTTAAGGGGCCACATGCAATCTTAATCATTACCGTAACTCAAATATGCTGCTGATTAACTTTAATTCCAATACTTCTATTATAAGTTAAGCTTGCTTTCCCTCCTGATAAACTGTAAGAGTTTTAATTAATGTTTTGTTCTAGTTTACTCATTCAAA